AGTCAAGAGTGGACCTCGTACGAGGTGGAGTTCAACGCCCATTCCATGCTAGCCTGGATTCACACCGACGAGACGGGTGCGCCTCGGCCAGACTTCCGCGAATGGCCTGACAGGGCTGCTGAGTTCCTTCAGTCCGCCCCCTGGATGGATGACGGCTGGTTCCTCTGCCCTCATCTGCGTTTGGTCCGCACTGGCGTTGGCAGTTGCCCTTTTTGTAACAAAGCCGTGAAATACAAGTGCATGGTTGCGCACAACTATATGCTCCAGTCATTCCAGTCGCATACTATCGAAAATACACTACTGTGGAATAGCGGCTTTGAGCTGACCGCTCATGATTGCGATAATTTGCCCTATCGACAAGACCAGTACATTCTTGAGAGGCGAAAGCGACAGGGCAAAGCGTCAGCTGGCGTCATGGCAAACATTAGTGCCAATTTGAAAATGGAGCGTAAGTGGGCGAACGGTGGATGCACCGTTATGGCTGCGGCCGGCCAAACCTTTGGCAACAGCCGCCCCGCTAGTGTTCCCGCCTGGGTCCCAGACAGTGTCGAGGCCCAGCCACCTGCGCGCCATGGACCTTTCTTCCAGTACATTGAACCTCTCAAGAGAAGGTTCATCAAGTGGCTGGAATTCCTGGCGCAAAGAGCCCCGGCCGACGAGCCGAAGATCGCAGAGTGGTGGCCTCTCATATGGGCCACAGATATCGATCAGTACGCGCGCCCATTTTCATGCCCTCCTCTGGCTGCGTTCGACTGGCCAGACGAAGACGAGACGAGCACAAGCCCTACTGGAGGATGGGCACACTGGGAAAACGCCAAGCAAAGAGCAGGCACCTTCGTACCGACTCTCCAGACCGTGTACAATGCACTTTCTGGGGTTGCGCCCTGGACGCCTGTCGCCCTGGGTGCTGGAGCAGACGCCACATGGCCCAGCCATAGTGGGCGCCCGCCTGTAGTTTGGGCGCAGCAGCTTACTGCTCGCCCTGCTCGCTTGTCAAAGTCAGTGTCCCGGCGCAACAAGATCTGCGCCATGCACCCTCTCCGCGCTGTCACTCCTGTCGCCGGCCAAGCCGAGTCGACAGGCGATGCGAGACTTGCCCCAATTCCCCTTGACTTCAATGCCGTCCGCGGGTGCCGCACCCAGCGGCGGCTGAACGGGGAAATCACCCTCGACCCGTCCGACCGACAGATGACCCTTCAACGCGAGGACGGCACCCTGCGCGTAGCAACGTCGCAGAAGGAAGCCATCAGCGTCGCATCTCAGTATGTTATGGAGCACGTGTGCCACAACCCAGGAACGGGAACGGCCGACAGGCATCGCCTGTCGCGCCTGAGCAGAGAGCAAGATCATGTGGTTCCTGCAGCGGTGCAAGAGGCCCTTGAGCAGAGCTGGCGGACTCCCGTCGAACAGCTCAACCTCGACCTTCGAGTCATGCGTGTCTTTGTGATTGTCCGCGAGATCATAAATTGTTTTCTCGCCGAAGGATATCACATGGCCTATCCCACGCCTGATCTATTCACTCGAGAACCCGCCGACGGAGTCAACATCGAACAGCGCCGCCTCGATGCATATGCGCTGGACAGCCGTATCCGATCGGCCGTCAATACCGATGACCTCGTCGAAGCATGGCCCCGCGACCTTTGCGCTGAGCGTCGTGCCGAGCTCCGTCGCCACGGCGGTGCTTTGCAAGACGCCGTCGCTTTTCTGTGCCCGTTCTTGGAGTCCAATCCCGAACAAGACTGTGACCCAGGCCCCCTTGGCACTGCTAGCGGGCGCTTCGGTCACTACGCGGCGACTGCCGCGATGGGTATCGTTCGATACGCGAAGCCACAGCATGAAACACGACTTCGCGAGGAGAAAGCCGCTGACGAACCCTCCGACGGCCCAGCCGATCAGGAGGTGGCTTCCGCGTCGCCAGCAGGGCCAAGCCCTGCTGGCTCCCCGGCTCCGCCTTTCCCGCCTGGACCGCCCAACGTCCCAGACGCTCGGGTCGGTGATGATGCCGCAGAGTCCCCCCACTCCGCCGGCGGTCAAACCGCTTCGGCGGGCGACGAACCCTCGAGGTGTTCCCCTGGCGGCAACGCGTGGGATCAGCCAATGACCGCGCGCGCGGCGGAGCCATGGCTGCCGGCTGCGTCGATGGCGCCTGGGGCCCCATGCGGCGCTACCCGAAGACCTCCGAGCGCGGCGAGGTGGTAGGTTTCTGGGTGCATCGTGACCAGGTGTATTGGCATGCCCACAAGGAACGTGAATGGCAGTTCTTGTCCCACTATGACTACAACCACTGGTTCCCGAGAGAGCAGGGCAAGGGATACAGCAAGGACAATGACAAGTCCAAACATGTGAGGCCAGCGCCATATGCTGGCTCTGGCAAAGGAGCCAAGTCTTCGGCGTCTCACCCGCCAGCTTGGCATAAAGGAGGTGCCTCGTCATCGCGGACTCCGAGGCCCCCTGCGCCGCCAACACGTTCTGCCGACTCGCGGCACTACGACCAGAAGAAATACTGGCAGAAGAAGTGAGCAAGGAGGAGAGTCGTACGACCTAGTCGCTTCGACGTGAGAGGCCCGGCTTAACGCGGAGGTGGGGTACGTCGGCGCCCTTCAGCCCATCGTCCCCAGCCGGCCTGGAGTGTTTTGGGCTCCTCCAGGTTGTGCATATGCACAGAGGCTGGTGGATGTAGGCTGACGGGTTCTTACGGACCCCGCCGCGGGGGGAGTAAATATGCTCCTCCCCGCCTCACATTCTAGTTGCCTCTCCTGCCGCCTGCCTTGCTTGACATTGATACATTAACAGCTGTTTGGTAGCCAGCCTGAAAAGGAGCGCGCTGCCGCGCGCCCGCGCACGGGCGCCGGCCGGCGGGCCTCCTCCCTTCCCGTGTTTCTTACCGTTTGCTATACGGATTATCCATTGTCTTAACCATGCCTCGTCCCAAACCCTCTCTCGCTGAGCATGTAGCCCACGATATCAGTGTTGGAGATCAAGAGACCATAGTTCCTTTGGCATCTTACCCCGGTTCTCAGAGGAAAGACTGACAATCCACGGGGCCACCGACGGGACAACCCACAATTTGCATCCCGATTGTTTGGCCATGTGCATGTTGCTTTGTATTCAGTTTTGCCGTTCGATGTTATGCCATTTGCAGGTTCAGCTACTCTTCGTTTCGACGCCCGAATGACATGGTGCGTTTTTGTTTGGCTGGCCTTCCGACGTGAATCCCCGACTCCGTCTGAATTGCATGCCGATCTGGATATCGATTGTAATTATTGATGCTTCGCTTGTCCCCACCAGTCCATCCAGCAACGATGCCTGGGCGAATTGCATTGACAAAGGGAGTGTGGAGGCACCCAGTGGAACAAGGAGCAGTGGCAGCCGTCAACCCGGTCGGGGTCAATTTCAGCATGCCCAAGAGTCACCCACACAGGTGTTCGCTGATTTTTAAATTATTGGAGTTTGGAGTTTGTTAGCAATTCATTGGGGCCGCATCGGAGCCATTCGGGAGGCCATTTGGGAGCTCCGTGGGGCTCTCTTGAGGCCCTGCCAGGCTCGTCAGAGGGCCCTCTCGGAGGCACTAGGACCATCCCAGGGACCATGCATCAAAGAAGGGGGTATATAGTAAGTGTACAGAGCGCGCTGCCATGCTACATCTGATAAGCTATACAAAGAGCGAGGAGGATGATATGGAGTGGGAAGAGGGCGCAACTGATGAGGAGCCCAAGGGGAAGAAAGAGAAGGAAGAGGAGGAGGAGGAGGAGGAGGAGGAGGTGGGAGGAATCTAGCGAGGACGACAGCAACCGCGACGACAACGACGACGGGGACGAGCCCGTCCAGAAGTGGTTGCCAGGTGAGTTGCTTTGGCCAGAGAAGTGCGGGAACGCCCAGTGGAAGAGACAGACACATAGATTCTAAGCAATCCTGAGGCCGCAGACGCCCATCGGAAGCGAAGAGGCGGTAAGAGACGGGAAGACACAATTGATGGGTTATGCAGATGAGAAGAATGTTGGCCTCTCGGGGGCGTCCTTGAGAGGTTCCTTGGCCAGTTGGGGCTGTCTTGGGGTTTCTTTGAGACTTGGTGGAAGCTCTCTTGGGCTATCTCACTCGTCTGGTGATAACACTGGCAGCCTTGGGAACCATCGTAGAGCCATGTTGGAGGACATCGCTAAAACACGGAGACGCTGCGAATTAGAATTGCCCCTCTTGGACTTGAGTTGTCACCTCTTGGAACCATGTTCGGGCACTCTGTGGTGCTTTGGGGGCCGTCTTGGAGCCATCTTGACAGCCATTGGGGGTAATCGTAAGGCCCTCGTGGAAGCCTTTGGGGCCCTCTTGGGGCCGTCTTCGAGGATATCGATAAAAGAAGGGAGGCCTTAATTCGCGTTTCGCCCAGGAGCCTCAGCCATCTTGGAGCGTTCTCGGGGCCAGCTTGGACCATCTTAGGCCCTCTTGGGATCCTCTAGGAAACATTTAAAGGCTTCCATTGAACATCGCAAGCGGAAAGGGTGTTGGCCGCGTTGGGGGACTTGGACTCGGGCAGTGCGAGCGCGCAGCTGATCACCCCTCCCACCACCCACCGCAGTCTTGATGATGGAATGGAACGCGTGCGCGCGTTGTTTTTGTGAGTGCCTTTCTACATATCTTTCTTTCTTTCTCTCTCTCTCTCTCTCTCTCTCTCTCTCTCTCTCTCTCTCTCTCTCTCGCTCTCTTTATGTTTTTTTTGTTTCTCTCTCTCTCTCTCTCTCGATGTCTCTCTCTCTCTCTCTCTCTCTCTCTCTCTCTCTCTCTCTCTCTCTCTCTCTCTCTCTCTCTCTCTCTCTCTCTCTCTTTTTCTTTTTTCTATCATTCTCTCCCTCTCTCAGTCTCTCTCTCTCCCTCTCTCTCTGGTCTCGGCTCGAGGCACTGGGGTGCCTGCGAGCCTTCGACGTAGCCTTCCCGAAGCGAGACCGTTCCCGCCACCCCGGGGCGCAACTGATACGTAGACCACACCATTGCCGCCGGCGCGCGCCATGGCCCCCCCGCGTTCGCTCCGCTGCGCGACCTCAGCACACCCTCCAGCGGCTCAGCCGACTGGCGGCCCTCGACGCACAGCACCCAACCCCGAGAGCAAACTCGCGCGGAAGGATGCATGTGTCGAGGCTCTCCGCCCAGGCGGAGGTGGCCGCCCAGCGCCCGCCTACAACTCGATTGCCCAGAAAGCCGGCGACGCACTGGTAGAGCTGGTATGGACCACCCACGGTGATTCTGCAGAAGACCGACGCGCACTCCACCGCCCGCGCGCCACCCATGAGATCTCCTGGGCCCATCTGCACCACGAGCGCGCCCGCGCCAAGAACGCCGCGGGCGACGAGGTTCAGCCGCAGCCGCCCAAGGCCACGGTCGCTACCCCATGCTACTCCTTGGACCCGAGCCAGTGGGACGTGGCAGTCACCAAGGTTCCCGAGCCGGTAGTAGACACGGGCACTGGTTGTACCACATACAAGAGGTCAGTCCTTGTGTACACGGCCGACGACGCACCAACCGTTCTAGCTGCGCTCCAACGCCAAGATGACCCTCTCTCCGCGGTCGCCCTCGGCCCTGGGGACCCGCAGCACGCAGGTCTCGACTGTAAGGTCCCCGTCGCCCGGCGGACACCACGATCCTTTCGACCGCAGCCCACCCATTTCGACGCTACCATCTACCAGTTTGGGCGCACCGAGGTTCAATGCACCCAGAATTCCATGGGCGTGGAGTTCGACCCAGTGTTGCAAGCTACGTGGATCCGCGGCACCATCTTGGAAGATGAAGCCACTGCTGCAACTGACGGAGCGCATACCGAACTGTTTGCCCAGCTCCAGAGAGCTGATGCTGTCAGGAAAGAACGCGAGACCTACCTCGAGCGCATGGCCGGCAAGCGCCTGCGGGGCACTGACGGGGATGCTCGCGCTGGCGGCGGAGGCTCGCCAGGCAGCGGCGACGGGGGGAGCGGCGCCCGCCGCGCCTGGAGGCGCCGTCGGAGTGGGCGGCGGCGGCAGCGAAGCAGAGGCGCCTGAAGGTTCGTCGGCCGAGCGCGTCCGCGAGGCTGTCGCAGCCATCGTTCGGCGCTTTCAGCCGCCGGCGGAAGGAGATGCGCGCGGGCCTGGGCGGGCAGCACCCCCCACCCCCTGCCGAGCTCTGAAGGTCGGAGCATGCGCGATGATTGTCGGTCCAGGCACGCCCAGGCCTTCCCGCGCCATCCGCCCTAGTCGCCATCGGAATTCACGGCCTCGGAACGCCGCGGGGCGGGGGCGAGGAAGACCCCACCCCGCGCGTGCATTTCGTGCTCCGACACAGGTATGGGTCGCAACAGTTGTTTAGATACCCAGCTAGTATTGAGGGGCCCGCTCGCCCCTTCGCTTCTCCCCGAGGCCGAGTCGCTCCGTTTGAGCGTCGTTTCCGTCAACGGCAACTCGCGGGGGTCGGTGAAAGATTGGGTTGCCAGGCGTCAGCTCAGAGGTTGTTCTGGTCAAGGAGCACTTTCGCGTGTCAGGGGGCGGTGGATCGCGCCTCGGCCGCGAGCCTGCGCTTGGGTTTCTAGAGTCCGCGGCCCCGGCCACCGCGTACCTCGGGGGAGGGCCCTCGGCTGGTGCAGCAGTTTTCTGCAAGGCCCACTTGGGATCGCATGGGCCCTCTGCTGGGCCCTTGGCGGTTCCACCGAGCCTCGACGGCTCTGGCCCACGCCCCCCAGGGGGGTGTCCAGTTTTGTTTGGTTTGCCGCGGGAATTCTAAGGGCCTCTCCGAGGACCACCTCGATTCGCTGGCGGCGACTGGAAGTCGGAGCCCCCCAGTCTGGGGTGGGGAGAGTCATCATTCGTTAGCTCTCTCGTCGGGCAGGTTATCTGCAACGGCAAATCCACGCGCTTTGCCAGGGATCCCCCCGCGGGGCATGATTATTTCGTTTAATCTTCGGGAGTGGCGAAGGCGGCCAAGGGCATCAGCCCAATTGGAAGCGCTTGTTCCTTCTCCACTTACCAGTTCGCATTGATTTTCGCGCAGGCATCGCTAGGCTGCGTTGCCTTGCGTTCAGGAGGCCGCCCGCCCCCGCTGCCCACCATGCCTCCTGCGCGGCCTCAGCCCGAGCCCATGAATTTCGAGCGAGTCCATCACCGGTTAGGCGCCGCCCTCATTCGCGCCCGTCGCGGAGACGACGCGCAGATGACCTCCGCGCTCTTTCGCGAGGCGCACCTGGCGGAGGGGGGGCCGGCCAGGACTTCCGGGTTTGCACTGCCCGTCTGGAGGTCGACGCGGCAAGGGGCCGATCACCCATTGGAGGCCTATCCTCAGGCAAGGCAAGGGTTGCGCCAGATACCCCCAGCTCCGCGCCCGCCGCTGGCTGACCAATACCTTCCAGCGTCTTCGCGGTGCCGCCCAAGGGGCGGACTGGCCCCGGGCTCGAGAAGCGGCCCGAATCCCCGCGTCGCCCCCCGACAGTCCGCGCAGGCCTATCCCTGCCCCTGGCGAGGGGCCCGCAGAGGGCCCCGAGGCTCAGCAATGCGATTGTTTTCCTTTCCTTCTGGGAAGAAGTTTTAAACTGGCTTCGGACTGCCTTTCGAGCAGTATGTCACACAGTGTGGTTCAGGATTGCGCCGGATGCTTCGGCGTGGTCGTTTCTGAGTTCGCGGAAGGATGTTCCAGTTTTGATGCGACCCCGGCTTGCGAGGACTGGGCGAACTGGCTCACGAGCAAGGCGGGCCAAGGAGGAAGGAGGGCGAACTCTTTCACGGAGGCTCCGCGGGCCTGGAAGGCCAGCGCCGCTCTCTGCTCCGCGGGCTGCGTTGTGTCCGACCCGCAGTCGTTCTTGGCCGACGACGCTGCGCGTTTCCGCAGCTTGTAGGAGGCGCCGGTGGCCACTGCCAGGCTGCCCCGTGCGACCAATGACCCGCTGGCCCGGGCCCCTCCTTGTGAGATCAGGACGCTTTCTAAATAATTTGCTCGTCGGTCCGCAGTGGGGCTTGGCGCCAGTTTGCGCTGCTGTCTCAAGGGGACTGGGGGGCTCTCTCAGGGTATTCAGGGATTGTGGAAATCACATGCCGCCGAAACCTACTTCAGGATCCAGGCCGCGTGCATCGTCGATGGGGCAAGCGCCGTCATGTTTACGCTGCGCAGTGGGAAGCTGCTAACCAGCGTGCTTTCCGGGCGGCTGGCCAGCGCAAGTCGGCCAGCGTCGTCGCGCGGAGACAGACGGCCAAGTCGGAGAGGTCTCGCAGCCAGTCGCAGCATGCGCGCACCATTTTGCTGGTTTTTAGCAAGTCCTACGAGCGTATCCCGCTGGATGCCCAGGCGCTTCGGCGCGCCCAACACCGGTTCCCTACCCCCATTGCGTCGGTTTGTTATGCGGGCTATCGGGCCGTTCGTTTCCTGTTTCTTGGGGGGCGTGGTGTCGAGGCCCATGCATTCCCGCGTCGGCATCGTCGCGGGGCGCAGCTTCGCCGCGACGCTCACCAGAGCGTTTGCTCTGGACGCGTCCGATAGGGTGGAGGTTCCGACAGGGGCTCTCGTTCGATTCTACATCGGCGATCTGGGTTGGAACGCCATTGGGTCTATCCAGAGCATCTGCCGCGACCTCTCCGCCACGGCCCCACGCTTGAAAAGGGCTGTGTCCGAGCTGTCCCACGCGGATACTTCTGCGTATAATCTCGTCTTCCAAGGAGGTTGGGGGAGCTCGAAGGCGTGCGCAGAGTCGGGGGCCAATCTGGGGATTGACGACGAAGTGGGGCGTGCCCGACGAGCTCGAAGCCGCAACGCCCGCGCCACGGCCAGAGTGGCCAAGGCGAGTCGTCGCGTTCGACTTTTTGTCCGCCGAGAGAGTGCTTCGTCTTCCCAGCGGGCGCCGACGCACGCCTACAAGCACGACCGGCCGGGCGGCGCTCGCAGGGCCGAAGTGCAGTTACTTGTGCGACCCGGCCCGTCGTACTAGGACGCCTGGGTACGCCAACTAGCGCGACCCGCGGATCGGTGGAGGCCACGCTCGCAGCTAGAGTGCGCGCATTTGCACGACCGGCCGGGTCGCACTAGCACGCCGAAGCACGCCGAATTACTCGCGCGGCCCGGCCCGTTGCCTTAGTGCGCCTGAGAGAGTGCGCCTAGTAGTTCGACCCGCGGATCGGTGGAGGCTGCACTCGCAGGGCCGGGGCGCGCCAACTAGCACGACCGGCCAGGTCGCGCCAGCATGCCGAGGCACGCTGAAGCACGCCTACCAGCACGAGCTGGACGGTCGCACCAGCACGCCTGAGTACCGTCATTTGCGCGACCCGCCGAGGAGCAGAAAGCGGACTCCCAGAGCCGAAGTACGCCTACTAGCACGACCCGACCGGTCGCGCTAGCACGACTGAGTACGCAAATTTGCACAGCCCGCGGATCGGGAGGCCGTGCTCGCAAGGCAGTCGTACGCCTACTAGCGCAACCCAACTGGTCGTTCTAGCACGCCTGAGTACGCCTACTAGTATCCGAGGATCTGGAGACCGTATTCACAAGGCCGGAGTACGCCTACTAGTGCGATCCCACACTGCACTTCCTGGAGCAACCCGCGGATCGGTGGAGACGCACCCGCAGAGCCGAAGCAAGCCTGCTAGCACGACCAGGCAGGTCGTAGCGGCACGCCTAAATGCCTCTTCTAAGCGCGACCCGCGGAGCGAGGGAGGCCGCACCCACATAGCCGAAGTACGCCTACCAGTACGACCCGGAGAATCGTATTGGTACGCCTGAGTGCGCTTATTTAATCGCTTCGCTCATTCCGCCGGCCCATGCAGTCTCATGTCTGCCGTTTGCCCGAGGGCTTGGTGTCAATGCGGCGCTTTGGGGGTTCCTGGGGCCGCTTGGGGGACTCCTGGGGCGCTCGGGGGGGCATTTGGGGGGCCTCCTGGGGCCGCTTGGGGGACTCTTGGGGGCCTCCTGAGGGCCTCGTGGGGGCCTCTTGGGGCCTCTTGGGACCTCTCAGGGGCCTCTGGGGTCCTCCTGGGGGCTTCTTACGGCCGAGGGCTGGACATGTTGTGTCGTGTTCCCCCCCTGGTGCCGCTCTTGGGGCGTTCTTGGGGCCCTCTTGGGCCGTCTTGGGGCCCTCTGGGGCCGTTTTGGGGCCATCTTGGCTCGTCGTAAGGCCCTTGTGGGGGGCTCTTGGGCACTCTTGAAGCGGTCTTGGGGGCCTCTTGGGCCGTCGTCGGGCGTTGGAAAGCGGAAAGGGTGGGAATACCAAAATCTCACCAAAACCTAAGGAAAAGCAATGAATTTTGCCAATTGGGGCCCTCTTGGGAGTGCTCTTGGACGCCTCCTGGGGCGTTTGGGGGCCATATGGAGCGTCTTGGAGCGATCTTGTGGCATCTCGGAGCCCTCTTGTAGCATATTGGGGGCGTTTTGGGGCGTCTGGAGGCTCTCTGGAGGACCTCGCGGGCGGCGCCCAGGAGGGAGAACATTTCTGACGGGAACCTCCTGGGGCCCTCCCGGGAGTCTCCCGGGACCCTGCCGGGGTACTTTTCGCGGGGAGACCCCCAGGGGCCGCCCCGCGCGCGCGAAGAAGAATATTGTAAAGCAGTCACCGGAGATCTTAGCACGCCTCTGGCCCGTTGGGCCTTGGTACGCCTGAGTACGCTTATTACTTTGTCTCGAGAGGAGGCCCGCCTCCGCCGATCGCACTAGTGGGCCGAACGAGCCCTGCGAGCAAGCCCCGGCGAGGCCCCCTGGGCCGCGCTGGCGCGGCAAAGTAGCCCCACCAAAAGCCCTTCCGGGGCGATTTTTCGGGGATGTCTCGAGCGGGGGCCCTCTCCGCCGGCCGCGCCAGCAGGCCAAAGTGGCCCTACTGGCCGCGCCCCCGAAGCCGAACCGGTACGCCAAAATAGCTCTATCAGTAGTCCCGCTGGGGCGGTCTGTCGAGGATGTCTCGAGCGGGGACCCTCTCCCCTAGTCGCGCTTGTACGCCAACGTAAACCTAGTTGTGCGCCCCGGCCAAACTCCTGGAGTTGCACTCGCACGGCTACTTTAGCTCCACTGGTAGCCCCGCTGGGGCGGTCTTTCGAGAATCGAGAGGGGGCCGCCCGCCGGTTGCACTGGTGGGCCGAAGTAGCCCACTAGTACGCCTCGGCCAAGCCCCCGAAGCCATACCAGCTGGTAGCCCCGCCAGCCGGAATTTCGAGGATGTCTCGAACGGGGGCCCTGGGTTCTCTCCCCCAGTCGTACTAGTAGGCCAAAGTGAACCCAGTGGCGCGCTTCGGCCAAACTCCCGGGCCGTACTAGTACGGCAAAGTAGCCTTGCTAGTAGCCCGCTGGAGCAGCCTTTCGAGGATGTCTCGAACGGGGGCCCTCTCCGCTGGTCGTGCCCGTGAGCCAAAGTAAACCTACCAGACCTATTAGTACGCCCTCGCCAGGCCCCCGAAGCCGCATTAGTCGGCCCCGCCAGGGCCAACTTTCGAGGATGTCTCGAGCGGGGGCCCTCTCCCCCAGTCGCACCCGCAAGCCAAAGGAGCCCCCCTAGCACGCGCGGGCCAACATCCAAGACTCGTACTAATACAGCTACTCTGGCCCTACTTGTAGCCCCGCCCAGACGGTCTTTCGGGGATGTCTCGGGCGGGAGCCTTCTCCGCCGGTCGCACTAGTAGGTCAAAGTGGTACTACTACACCCGTTTTCTGAGCCAACTTTAAATTCTCAACGGGATCGTTCGATGCGGACTGTCTGGCAGCCGCGCCGCCGTCGTCTTGTTGCATTTGCCATCTTCGTCCGCAGGCGCATTGGCTCGCGCCGGCAGCGGCCCCCCTGGGCCGCCCGCCGCTGGGCGCACGGGGCCCAGAAACGCCCCGCGGGTGGAGGTTTGCAAGCGCCTGCGCGAGGTAGCCGCCCGCCTCGGCGTCGCCCGCGCGCCCGACAGTGCTGGGCGGCAACGGGTGGGGGCCACGCGCCAGGCCATCTCGGCGGCTTCTGACCTGTCGGACGCCGACCGGCCAGAGGTCGACGTCGAGGCCGCGCGGGCAACGTACCTGTCCGCCTTTGCGGGGCAGGAGGCGGACGACTGCGCCGCCGCGCCAGACGGCGCGGGCGCGGGCGCGGGCGCCGAGAGCGGGCCCGCGCAAGGCGGGAAGGCCACGCGGTTCCGAGGCAGCTTTTCGACAGGTTCGCGGTTGTCCTACAGTCGGTCGGGGTCGGGTTGCAGGCGAAGGGGCTCGGCGCCACGATAGGGGATTCCACGAGGGCGGGGCGTCGCGCGCATATCCACGCCTACCCGGACCTGGAGCAGCGCCGACAGGAGGGCAGCGATGCCTTGGCCGAGTTTGTATTCGAGGGGGCGCGGCCGCATTGCGAGCCGAACGCTGGCCCGCGCGCCCGCCTACAAGGGGGCCGCGCGGATGGGCCGCCACAACGTCGCGGCCCAGAAGATCGGCAGCCGTTTCGAGTGGACCGACTTCCCGCCTGTCAAAGCCCACGGCGTTGAGCCGTGGTGGTTGGAAAACGGGTCGAAGGCCAGGGAGCCGACGAGGGCGACCTCTTTTTCCTCAGCGGCGCGCTGCGGGGTTGGATGGATCCCAGCGGCGCCCGGCAGACGTTCGAGCCGCAGAGCGTTGCGAGCGAGATCAGGCTGTGGGCGAGCAAGTGAAGGCCGAGTTTGCCGCGCTGACCGACCAGGCGAAACAGTTCTTGGAAATTGATCAGTTCTTGGACCTCTTTAAGTTTGGCAGGCGCACGACGCGAAGGCTAGCGTTGGTCATCCCTGTCGGAACGACTTTAAAGCGTCCTGGGCGCCTCTGTCCTGAGACGCCTCGGCGTCGCCTCGGGCGTCCCCGGGTACACGGGGGCGACGGTCGAGGGCAGCCCCCGCCTCGACAGGGGGAATAGAATTTGGGTTTGCCCGAGCGCCGCTGCGGAGCCTGCTGCCATCGCCCCCGAGGCTTTTCTGGACAGCATCACGAGCGCGGAAGCGGGCGTCGGGGCAATTCCGATTGAGCTCGCGTCGAGCCTTTTCCTTCATCACGCAGCATTGGGGCCTCCCTTTCGCCGACCATGAGGCCGAAGGCTTGGTTGCCCCCCCCTGGCCCCCTCAGCATGGGAGGGGGGGGTCATTTTCATGGATGGTTCGTGCATGCGGACAGCGGTGCGCGCGTCCAGCAGGACGGGTTGGGGATTAGCCATGCTTGGGCCGTTTGGCCGCTTGCTGTCGGTGGCATGGGGCCCAGTCCAGGACAGCTGCCCTCGGACTCCCCAGGCCGGCGGGTTCGCGGCCTACGCGATGGTTGCAGCCAGTTTCCACCCAGCTCGATCCTGATTGTGCCAACGTTGTCAGTATGCACCGCCTGCCCTCCAGCTTGCAGCTCTCGCCTGCGCGTCCTTCTGCGGGGTTGGTTTTGCAGGATATTTCCCGCGGCCGCAGGAATGTCCCACGGCATGAGAAGGCTCGGGCGCACCAGTCCCCCGATGGTCCTGACGTCGACGACGCCGAGCAGTTTAGGCGCGTCGGCAATGACGCGGCTGGCCGAGCTGCGAAGCTTGGCCCTGACATGCACCCCCAGCCATCGGAGGGGGGGATCGCTTCCGTCGGAGTCTGTCCAGTGCGCTCAGTACGTTGTGCGCCTTGCTACCTCTCTTTTGCCCCCCTGGCCCCGCGCCGATTTGTCAGGCGTGGAGTGGCACTCTAGGTAGAGCAAAGTTCTTCGGGAGGCCCCCCCGCTCTATCCGTGGTTGTGGAAGGAGCCGCCGCCTGGATCCCAACGGTTTTGGCCGTGCCAGGCGTGTTTGCGTTCCTCCAGAAGTGAGGCCCTCGTCGAGCCCCGCCCCCTCCCCCCAGGCCAGTGCAAGCACGCCCAAAAGATTTGCATTCAAATTCTGCGAAAGAGCGCGCTCTGCCGCCGTTGATGGCAGAGAACCCGGGGGGGGGGTTACTGGGGGTTTCAAACCCGCCCCCCCGCCCCCCACCCTCTCGAAAACAAAAGGGGGTCACTACCGGTTCGAACCCCCCCCCCCGGGTCACTGCCGGTTCGAACCCCTTCCCCCACCCCCCAACACCTTCCTCGCCGCCGGCAAACGACTCCCCTTCCTCCCCAACTCCGGACGGGGGATTGTGGTGGGGACAGTGTTTGGGACGGTGGTGGGGATGGTGGTGGAGAGCGGGGACAGTAGGACAGTGGTTGGACAGTGGGACAGTGGTGGGAACATTGCAACAGCTCAGTGGGACAGCGGTGGGGACAGTGAGGTCAGTGGGACAGTGGTGGGGACAGTGGGACAGTGGTGGGGGCAGCGGGGATAGTGGGGAGAGTGGGACCGTGGTGGGGACAGTGGTGGGGACACTGGGGACAGTGGACAGTGGTGGGGGACTGGTGGGGACAGTGGAGACAGTGGTGGCAACAGTGGGGACACTGGGACAGTGGTGGGGACGGTGATGGTGGGGACAGTGGCGAGGACGGTTGTGGGGACCCGGGAGTCGTTTGCAGGCGGCGAACGACTCGGGGGGGGGGCTTCGAACTGGTAGTTACCCCCCGCGGTTTCTGGGGGAAGGGGGGGGTAGGGGAGGGGGGGGGGTTTGCCGGGGGAAGGGGGGGGTGGGGGCCCGAGCAGGGGGGGAGATTTTCGGAGGGAGGGGGTCCCCCGTGCTCCGGAGGAAGAGGGAGGGGGAATCGTCCGCAGTAAAGCGGCGGTGGATCACGCTCTCTGAATTCTGAGGAACCTCACTCAATCACAAGTGCGATTTGTGTCGCTGCTCCAACGACACACTCGTGGTCGTGTGCGCAGCATGCACATGCTACTCGCGTGTTGCTCGCCTGGCAAAGTTTGGTGAGCTGTGTACTGGCCCGCGTTTCGACCTTTGGACTGGTACGAGCAAGTGCAACCAGTTTTGTTAAACAGAATTTGCAAGGGACTCCACCCCAAAGAGAACGGAGCCACCCTGCTTTCTGACATTTTCATTTACAGCTCGCTTTCAGCATGCAGCGCAGCGGTTGTGCTCCAACAAAAACCGCGCCCACCCACTCTGAAGTGTGTGCTGCGCATTCTGCGGCTGTGTCAAAAAGGCGGGTGGAAGGACGTCCAGCAAGTGAGTGAGGGAAGACCCGCGCGCGGGTCTCATGTCGTCCTAAGCGAGGATGGAGGCCATGTAATTCACAGGTTTAAGGGACGATGGGTGTGCGGGAAGTGCGGAGATTTTCGTGCTCGTCGTGGAGACCTCGCGCGTCTCCCGTGTCTTGGGGATCCCAAAGGGGTCCGAGAAGCGCACCCGTCCCATAAGCTTTGGTGCATTGGCCCAATGGTTTGGTGTTTTGAAAGCGCCGCCAGATGTGTGTCTACGGCGCTTTTGATCTCCAAACCGTGTTTGAGGAGGCCGCCCATGTGGTTTGCGAGGCACTTCAAGAGAAGGTACCTCATCCAGGGGCGCGGCCCTTCAGGAGAGAAAGTCGGTAATGGTTTCAAGAGGCCTGTTCCGATTTTCGCGTGAGTTGTTCGTTGAGCGTTCGACGGGATTATGGGTATTGCTTTTGGCCTGGTGCATCGTTCTCGGCACACCTCGTCGTCATCCAGAGTCTCCAGAGCCTCCTCCACTTCTTCTTCTCTGGTACCTCCTCCTCCTCCTCCTTCTCCTCCTCCTACTCCTCCCCCTCCTCATCCTCCTCATCCTCATCCTCTTCTGCCTCCTATTATATCCTCCTACACCCTGATTTTGTCAGGTCGAGAAAAGGCCCCCCGGTGACTTCGCCAGTCGGCCTTCACGGGACCAATGCCGAAAACATGTAATTGGATCCGCATCTTCCTCCTCCTCCTCGTCCTCCTCCTCCCCTTCCCCCTCTGCCGTCCGCGGTCATGGCAGACCCGGCGGCTCTACGGGGACCTCACCCACGTCCTCCCCCCACCCACCCCCCACCCCGTCATCATCGTCGTCGTCATCTTCCTCCTCCACATCATCAGCAGCATCAGCATCGTCATCACCATCATCAATACCAACGTCATCATCGCACTTATCATCCTCGTCATGGTCTCCATCCTCATCGTCACTAGCATCACCATCACCATCACGATCATCATCATCATCATCATCATCATCATCATCATCATCATCATCATCATCATCATCATCATCGTCCTCATCCTCATCCTCATCCTCATCCTCGCCATCATCATCAGCAGCAGCATCACTATCATCATCGTCATCATTAGCAGCATCAGCATCAAAATCGCCATCAGCATCGTCACTATCATAATCAGATCCACCGTCATCATCAGCATCAGCATCAGCACCGTCATCATTATCATCGTTATCATCATCAGCATCAACATCATCAGCAGCAGCGTCATCTTAACAGGTATTGTCATCACCATGTTCATTATCACCACCTCACCATCATCAGCAGCGGACTGATCACCAACCACCGCACCAGCCAGCATCAGCTGCAGCAACATCAGCATCAACATCATCATCAGCATCATCGGCATCGTAATCAGCATCATCAGCATCAGCAATATCATCATCAGCATCCTCAGCATCGGCATCCTCGTGTTCATCACCACCTCGCCATCACTATCAGTATCGACAGCATCAGCATCAGCATCAGACTCACCATCATCACCATCATCATCAGCATCATCGTCAGCATCATCATCATCATCATCCTCACCAGCATCACCAGCATCATTATCCTTACCTGTCCCCTTCTCCTCAACACTATACGCAGCATCATAATCATTTCCATCACCATCATCATTAGCATCAGCAGCATCATCATCACCATCCTAATCATCCTAACCATCATCATTACCATTATCATTATCGCCATCAGCATCATCATCATCAGCATCGTCATCGTCATCGTCACCATCATCGCATCGTCACCATCGTCATCAGCACCTCCATAGTTATCGTCATCACCATGGTTGCCATCACCAAGTCACCAGCATCAGCAGCATAATGATCTCCAGCGACAGCACCAGCTTCAGCCGCAGCATCATCAGCATCATCATCACCACCGCCAGCATCATCCATCATCGTAATCCGCATATTTGCCACTACCCTCAACAACAGCAACAACCACAAACTCATCGTCATCAGCATCATCACCAGCATCAGCATCATCACCCTCGCCATCATCATGACCTCGCCGTCACCTCCAGCATCAAAAGCCCCAGCATCAGCATCAGCATCATAATCAGCATCGTAATCATCATCATAATCATCCTCATCATCCTCATCATCCTCATCATCCTCATTATCATCATCAGCAGCAGGAGCAGCAGCATCGTCATCACCAGCATGAGCAGCAGCTGCAGCAACATTATCATCCTTGTCCTCCTCGTCATCATCATAATGCTTCCCCCCTCCCCCGAGAAGCGCCGCCCGCCGCGAGGGCCGGCGGCCCAACCTGTCGGAGGCGCGCCGCCGCCCCCGCGAGGACGAGGCAGCAACAGGGAGGCGGGGGGGGGCTGACAGGCAGGGCCGGGCGGAGGGCTCGGCGGTCGCGCGTCGAGGGTGGGCGGCGATGTGTGCATCCTGCTCCTCCCAGCCCTCCTCGTGGACCTAAACGGTGAGGCTTCGGGTTGCGCAGCGACAGGCCCCACGAGGCAGCCCCCGCTGGCCACGCGAGGCTCCCCGTCGAGGGTGGGCGCGAGGGCTCGGTTGGCTCACGACTGCGGCCGCGGCGGGATGGCGGGCCCGCGGCGCCCGGGCGGCGAGCCGGGGTCGAATGGGCGGGGCGCCCGTCGATGCGTCGGCGGGGGTCTCCCGTCGGAGATTTTGCCAAGCGGGTTCGAAGGGCGGCGAGGAGGAGGCGACGGGGCGGCGACGGTGACTACATGGCCGCCAGACAGGCCAGCAGGCTCAGACGACGGGTGGCGACGAAGCAGCGACGGGGTGGTGACGGCGACCACATAGCCGCCAGACCGGCCCGCAGGCCCAGTTCCGTATTCCAGAAGTAAGAATTCCTAAGTGCAAGCGCTGTTTGGGGAATACGTATCCACTGTTCATGTGTTGCCGTTTCGGCCACGCAGTTTTTTGAAGCGGCTGATCTGGCCGCTCCGGCAGCGAATCTGGCGTCGGGGTATCTCGCACGGGCACGTACACGATCGGTTTCCCGTGAATCCAGGCGTGTTGGGACGCTCGGAGCTTGTTCAACCCCGTACTTGACGTCGTTGTTGGGGAGCACCCCGGGCGTGCCACGGAACTTCTCCGACTGCATGCGCGGGCCATCGATGACGAGTCGGCGCCGCGCGCGCTTTCGTTGCAGACCCGAGACGCCTTGCAGCGTTCGAAGCTACATAAACATAAACTTTTGGCGCTCCGCGCGAATTTCTTGGATCTGCGCCTGGGCCCCAAGGTGACGCCTGCAACGCCGCCCCTGGCGCGCTCCGCGCGCCAGGGAGGGGGTCCAGCACGAATGCAAGAAGTCCGCACGGAGCGTCGAAAGTTTATGTTCATGTGTTTTTCTTCTTCTTCTAGGGTCATCGATGACGAATCGGCGCCGCGCGTTTTTTTCGTTGCAGACCCGACACGCCTTCCAGCGTTCGAAGAAGAAAAAAACACCTGCGTTTGCTTCTTCTTCTAAGCGTATCTCCTGTGGCGTGGCGGGGCGACGTCGTTGCTTCCCGCCTCTTGGGCCCCGCCCTCCCGGCTCTCTTCCAAGAGCGCTCGGCAGTTCTGGCTTTCGCACCCGACTTGGCCATTGAACCAGCTCCTGGGCACGCTCGCGTCTCGGCGGTGCAGAAGTCGCGGAACGAACAGACCCCCCTGGCGGCGCCTCCTGCGCCGCCACTGGCGCGCTCCGCGCGCCAGGGAGGGAGCTCCAGCGCCGATCCAAGAAATCCGCGCGGACCTCCGAGTTTTTATGTTTATGCAATTTTTAGCTCCTCTAAAGAATGCGTGCGCGTTCTCAGTCAGCGCCCCCTGCGGAACTCCTCCTGCATTCCTTTCAGCCCCGCATCGTCGCATCTCTCGCACTCTTTCCAGCTCTGTCACGCCCTGCACTCGCACTCGCCGCCGCTCCACGGAAGCGAGCGGCCGTGAAGCACGGGCGGCAGTGAGGTGTGCTTGCGAGCCACGGAGATGCGCTCCCAGGAGACGTCCGGTAGAAAACCTCCGCTGGGCGGCGCCAATTACCAGAAATCCCCATTCAGAACGATGTTCAGACCTCCGAGTGGACGACGCACGCCTCCATCGCCTCGCTTCGTCGACCCTACGTTCCAGATGACCCCCCGCAGTTTCGCGCATACTTCCTCTAGCAACCAGGCGCTCACCATGCTGATCTCGTCGATAAACAGCCACCTTCGTTGGAGCACACGCTTCGCAGCATCGTAATGCAACTTCACATCCTCTCCCCCCTCATCACCTCCGAGCAGCTGCGCCATCACCGCCTGCAAGGCAGTGACCTGCAACTGCACTCCAGAGCGCCCAGAGAGCTGACGAAATGCCACAAGAGCGCGCCAGAAGCGAGGATCGACGTGTGTGTCGGGCCCCATGCTGCCTCCAAAACGGCCCTAACATGACCTCTGGAAGGCTTCATCAACACTGCGTCAAGGGGGCCCGGGATGGGCCAGCTACCTGATGGACATCAACGACGGCGCAACGAGGCTTGCAATGCGCCCCAACAGGCCGCAAAGGCGCCCCGAATGCGCCTGAGGAACTCGCCAGGACGCCGCACGAAGCCTCCAAGAGGCCACCAGTAGGATCCGAAGAAGCTAAAACCAAAAAGTTTGTCTCAACTGATCGATGTGCGTGTCCTCACCTTTTCGGGCCTCCTTCAGCTCAAGACTTCCTTATGAGGCCTCCAATATGGCCCAAAGCCATTCCGAACAACAACTCCATACCACTCTTTTGGGGTCGGCTGCAGAGGCGGCAGCCTTCAGATCGTCCTGGAAAGCGATCAGAAGTGTTCATTTAGGAAGTTTGGGGCGGAATGCCACTTTCTGATGCGGGCCCCACTTTTGCTGTATAGTATTAGAAGTGGTGAGAGGTGACTGATAAACTCCGATATTGGCCAGAAACCCAAAGTTTCCCCACGGTCCCACGGCCGAACGGGAGGCCAACCATGTCTTCCTCGATCCCCGCGGCCAACACGCTTTAATCCAGCAGGATGTAGGAGGAGCAGCAGCAGTCGGGGGACGATGGTGAGGAGGAGGAGGAGGAGGAAACGGAAGAGGAGAAGAGGAGGAGGAGGAGGAGGAGGAGGAGGAAACGGAGGAGGGGGAGGGGAACATGGCTGAAGCAGGAAGAGGACAGGGGAAGGAGAAGGAGGAGGAGGAGGAGGAGGAGGAGGAGGAGGAGAAAAAGGAGCAGGAGCAGGAAGAAAGTGGAAGGGGGGAAGACGCAGAAGGAGGAGGAGCAGGTGGAGGCGGAGTGGCTGGAGCAGGAGGAGGTGCAGGCGGATGATGCCGAGGAGGAGGAGGAGGACGAGGGCGAAGATGCGGGGTAGGAAGGGGGGGGGGGGGGATGACGACGACGAGGACGAGGGCGAGGATGTGGGGGGTGAGGGTGAGGGGCGGGGGGGGCGGGCAGGCTCGCGCCAGGTGCCGCCGGGATGCCCTCCCGACCTACGGCTCGTGATGGAATGCTGCTGGGCCCAGCAGGCGTCGGACAGGCCAGGCTTCGACACAGTCTGGAGGGGGGGACACGACCTCTTCCCTTTCTTCACTCCTCCACCCTTCTTCTTTCCTCCTCCTCCTCCTCCTCCTCCTCCTCCTCCACCGTTTTCGTCCCTCTCAACCCGCGGTGCCTCTCGATCGCTCGTCGGTCGTCCGCCCCGCCTGCGCACCCCGTGCGCTTCTGGCTACCCCTACGCCGCCGTTTTCCGCGGCTTCGACAGGAGGCCCGCATTTTTTCCGCCCGGTCAGATGTCGAGGCCGCGGTGAGGAGGAGTCTGGCCTTCTCGTACGTTCGTCTCCGCCTCCTCCTCCTCCTCCTCCTCCTCCTCCTCCTCCTCCTCCTCCATCGTGGCCATCGTGTTCGCACAATGGCGCGCTGTTCCCATGACTTCGATGTCCACGTCATGATTGTGGCCGACGTGGCTTTGGTGCAGGCTCGTTCGCTTGTGACATTTCTCGAGTGGGCTCGGGGAGGATCTGCTGTGCCTGATAGCGCTGTCTTCGCTGGTGGTTCAGTTGGTCATGTTCTGCCTTCGTGGTGGTTTTGCGAGGAAGTTGTCTCCAATGGCGATGTGCAGCTTATGGGCCTCAAGTGGTATCCCCTCGCATTTGGTATTGTTTCGTTTGCGCTATGATTCGGTTTCTTGTGCCTCGCGGAGATGTTCAGGAAGCCGCCCAGAGATCTGAGGTGACAGTCATGCCGCGGTCAAAGATCTCTTCCTCCTCATTCTCATCAGCCTTCTCCTCATCATCATTATCCTCCTCCGCCTCCGTAGGACATTGTAAGCGTCATACGGTATCAGCAGGTATATTGGGAGGTGTTCGAAACCGGCTTCCTGGACGGTATGGAAGCTGTGAGTGCACGTAACCTTCGGCTCAAAATAAAGCATCTGGTCGCAGCTTGCATGGTTACCCTGGCAAGGATCGACAGGATATTGGGTTTCAAGCCAAAGCTCTGGTCCATCATTTGGGACGCTCATGGTCAGACTCGACGTTCTCCCCACAGTTCTTTGTTGGGCAGGTCAGAGAGGGAATCCGGATATATACGGTCATGGACGAGAGGCAGTCCAGGCTTGGAAGGGCGGCATCTTTTGGCACTCGATCAAGCCCCTTCTCAGCCAGCCTCGTCGGATACGTGGCACGGTCACGTTGACAGGTGTGTAGGCGAGCATATGCTAGATTCAATCCAGCATGGCACTACACGCTGGAGACATAGACCCGACTTGCAAGTTGAGTGGGGGGCAGAGGTACAATGTATCACAAAGGGTTTTGTTGCCCAGCCTTCGACGGATGGAGGAGAGATCACCTCGGGCCCAACCTTAGGAGATCAGCTGGCAGATTCCAAGGATTGCCAGAAGCAGTAGGAGCGTTGTTTGCCAGAAGGCTTTTGCCAGACCCGCGCCAATGGCTTGGACGACCCCATCTTGATCCCAAAGGTGTGTATGCCCAGTCGGTCAACGGGCCCCGTCGACAGTGTGCTCATGGTCCAGAAAAATCGACGATTTTCACATGTGGGCCGCCTTTCGAGGTTAACTGCCCTGGGCTTCGAGTGGCAGGGTGGTCTGTGTGCGCTGTCAACTACAATAGGGGCTTCTTGCATGGGCTCTACGGGGTGGTTCCGCTGTTTGGGACCCCCGACCAGAGTTCCAGGGACGGTGAGGATTCCGAGATTTGGCAGTTGGGACACCATACGGTTCTCAAGGCAGGAGATGAAGTCCACGTAGATTGTTAAGCAAGTGTGTCTGTGGCTAATTGGATCCCCACGTCGGCGAGTGAGAACCAGACTGTATGTCATTGGTGGTCGGAGGTTTCAGATGCTCTGGAGAATGTTCGGTCCGTGAAGGTCCACGCGCACCAGTCTCAGAAGGCGGCCCAGCAGGGCTTCATCGCACATCAGCAGCTCCGTTGAAATGCCCACGCTGACCGCCTGGCCAAACTAGGCGCTGAACCCCATCCGTGCCCCGCGGGCCCTGTTGTTGGCGATCGAAGGATGTGCCTCTCTCGCCCGCGAGGCTTCTAGGTTTGCGACCCCCCAGCAGGTGATGATCAGCAGCGGCCAATGGTGCGGCCAATGGTCATACCTGAGCCCCCCGCCGCCGGGGCCCGCAGGCCTCCTGCTGGCGCCCCCGGGCCCTCCTTGGACCCCGGGGCTGCGGAGGCGGGCCCACCCGAGCCCACTTCTGATTATTTTTTGGGGCCCAGGGAGGCTTGGAGTTTCACGGGGCATAGACAGTGGTGGGCAGAAGTCTGGGTCGCAAGTTAAAGATCACCGAAACAATTTTGGCGCGCTCGTCGCGCGGCGCCTACGCTCGGGGCCCCCGCAAGAAGCCGTCTCGCGGCGGCACCACTGCGGCGTGCGACGACAGGCCCAGCAGGAGCCATTGCAAGCACGTCGAATGATTTTGGCGGGGCAAATTCCTCGGGCGCGGGGATGGGCCGCGATGCGCGCAACGTGCACCGCCCCCCCCCCCATCGCTCAGCGTCCGCCACGAGCGGCCCAAGGCCCCGGCCCCCTCGGCGGCGCTTCCCGCCCCCACCCCCCACCCATCGGCCCAGGTTCCCAGGCGTTCGACGAGCCCCATGGGGGCTGGCTGCTGAGCGAGGTTAAAGGTTGTTTTGGCTTTCGCGGGAGGAGGCGTCCGCGCGGGGCCAGGCTGCTCGCGACGCGGAAGCGGCGAAAGTTTCGGCGGCGGTCAGAGGCCTTTTTTAAACCTTGCCCACGACCCCACCGAGCTGCGGTCGTTCCCCTTCTTTCCTCGCGCGCGAATGGGGTCGCCCCCCGCGACAGCTTGAGTTTGTGCTTCCGCCTCCGTAGCCTTTTTGGCTCAGAGCTGACCGGCGGCGACATGCGACGCACTGTTCCCCCCTTGTACCGGCGTGTTTCTTGTTCTCGTCATGCATTGCCACGTTCGGGCTGCTGCGTTCGACAACGGCCTTCGAAAGCTCAACAACTTCTTTGGCGCGCTGCGTCGCTTGGGCCGCGCGGCGAGCATCTCACGCAAATAGTCGGCTCCCCTTGCTGCCGCAGCTCATGACTTACATGCTCTTCGTGCCGAGCTCAATGTTTACTCTGTCGATCGACCTGTGCATCCTGAACTGCAGCTACGCCATGCTTAATTGGCGCTCGCCACTCGCCTGCAACGCGGTTTGGCAGTCACACGCCGCCCTCTCATCGCCGCAACCTGCACGAGTATGTTCGCGACGCTGCCGACAGCGGTCACTTACTGGCGAGGACCGCCCAGGTCATGGCACGATCTGCATCGAGGCCAATCCTGCTCGCCACCGGCGTTGGCACAGGGAGGAAGTTTCGTTGCCGTCGCTGAGCATCGTCGGTCACATTCTTGTCCTGCTCCCTGGGCCTCCTGCTCGCATCGACGCAGCCGCTGGCCCACACGGCGCGGCTGCTACCTCGTTCAGGTCCCTGGAGAGGCAGCTGGCAGACCTCGGGCAGCAGAGCCACAAAGAAGCACGGCGGCTTGCCGACCAGCTTCCGAAGAAGTCTTGGTCTTTCAGTGCGGACATGCTCACCGCGCGGGAGCGCGCGATGAAAGAGGGCCTCCAGGAAACGATCGCCACCGCTGTTTCCTGGGCTGCTCACGCTTCTTCCTGCGCTACTGCATCGGCATCGACACGGACACCAGTGTCTTCATTGGCCCGACCGTTCGTCGGCCTGCAGTCGGACCCCGACGCCGCGTGCGTCGGCCTCGTGCAGTCGTTGCGACATCCCGCCTGCATCAACGAGTTCGCGCGGTTGCTGCAGGCCATTGTTTTGGGCGCGATCCGTGAGTGCCCAGTCGAAGCTTGCGATGGACATCAAAAGCCCCTGCAAGCATATTGTCAGCGCGGTGAACAACGAGGGCCTGGGCGCTGCAAGCTTCGATCTGGCGGCTGCTCTCCGATACAGTCTGAACGAGTTTCCGAGGAAGAACGGCCTACGGGTTGACTCTGATTTCGTATAATGTGGCTCACTTGCGAAGTCGCTTCGGGAGCCCGCCTGCATCAACGAGTTCGCGCGGCGACTCTCCGAGATGGAGGTGCAACCCCTTCCTGAGCGCTCAATGTAGCAGCGCTGGCCAGCAGCGCGATGCCCTCGTGCAGTCCTGTGCGAAATAAGAGGCTCGAGCTGGCCAGTGCGTTCAGAATCTTCCCCCAGTCTGCTATGTGCGCGCTCTTGTGGGCTCTATTAATGCCAGAAGTGGCTTCGAGGTGCGGTGTTGATAACATCCCCAGCGTTGTCCCAGTAGGGGTCCGCATTTCCATCGGCGAAGGCGCGCGCTTTCGCCGGGGGGTCGAAGTCAGCACGCATGACGGACCTCAACTGCTTCGTCATCTCCTCGTTCTGCACACCGCCGACGTCGCTGTGCTAGCGGCGCGGAGGAGGGGCCACTGTCCAGCGCCCCCTCGATACACCGATACGCCCGTAGAACATTATATCCCTGAGATGTGCTCCACCGCTTCTCTTCTCAGGGGAACGACTTCTTCGCATGACCAACCCCGCGGCGTGCTCTCCCTGCGCTGATCATGGCAATCTCCATTGCTCGTTCTTTGTTCAGCTTTGCGGTGAGGTCTCCAGAGAGCTGGGCCTTACTGTCCAACCAGGCTTGTCATGTGGGTTGGTGCGGGCTCCGCGGGTGGCGTAAGTGGTTACGGGGCTCGTGCAGAAAAGACCTTGGCGCCACCCTACGGATGCCCACGTTCCCCCTTCGTGCCCACCCGAACGGCGCAGAGGTCGATGTGCGGCAACAGACAGACCATCCCGGTTGCTTCGTCTCCTCCTCCTCCTCCTCCGCCTCGTCCTCCTCCTCCCCATCCCTCCCCCCTCCCTCCCTCCCCTCCGCCATCCCTCCCTCCCTCCCTCCCCCCCTCTCTCCCTTCCTCCCTCTATCCATCCATCCATCCATCCATCCATCCATCCATCCATCCATCCATCCATCCATCCATCCATCCATCCATCCATCCCCCCCCCCCGAGTCTGCATGCAGGCAATGAGATTTGGGCATTCGGCGAAGTTGCCTTTGCGGCCACGAAGCTTGCTAGGAGAATGTGAACATGGGCCCGAGTCCGCACGCGGGCACCCGAGTCCGCATGCGGTCGCTGCGACTAGCGCCTTCGGTGAAGTTGTTTATTGGGCTACGAAGCGTGCGAGGGGTGTGCCACAAAGGGCCCGAGTTCGCACGCGGGTACCCGAGTCCGCATGCGGTCGCTGCCATTGGCGCCTTCAGTGGAACTCCTTGCGGTGCACGTAAGTGTCAGGGTTGTGCCAACAGGGCCGAGTCCGCAGGCGGGCGTCACCACTGGGGCGTCCGGTGGAGCTACTCATGGAGCCACGAAAGGCGTGAGCGATGCGCCACACTTGACCCGAGTCCGCAGGCGGGCGCTGTCACTGCGGCCGTCAGTGGGGCAGCATACGAGGCTACGAACCGTGTGAAGGGTACGCATATGGGCGCTGCCACTGGGCCTTCGGTGGAGCTCCCTGTGGGGCCACGAAGCATGTGAAGGGTGCGCAAAAATCGGCCCCACGTTGCGATTGTGGCTTTCGTGGGGATCCACATGGGGGCTGTGGAACGAAACGTGTGAAGAGTGTGCCGCAATGGACGCGGGACCGTTTGAGGGCGTTGTCGTTGGGGTGTTCGATGGTGCTCCCGATGGGGTCACGAAGCGTGTGAGTGGTGCGCCGAGGCGGGCGCTGCCATTGGAGCCTTCGGTGGCTTTATCGAGCCACGAAACGTGCGAAAGGTTTGTCGAACAGGGACCCGAGTCCCTATGCGGGCGTCGCCATTGGGACTATCGGTGGATCCCCATATGGGACCACGAAGCGTGTGAGGGGGGTGCCGGAATGGGCGCGGGGCTGGTAAGAAATATGATAATGATCAGGTTGATGGTGGTGATGGTGGTTGTGTTGACGATGCTGGTAACGGGGATGATGTTGAGCATGATGATGCTTGGTGATGATGTTGATGATGGTGGTGACGATATTGATGATGGTGATGGTGATGGTAATGGTAATGGTAATGGTGATGGTGGTGCTGGTGATGGTGACACACGGAGAGCACAAGCATGGATGGGGGGTGGGAGGATGAGGGAGAGGAGGAGGAGGAGGAGGAGGAGGAGGAGGGGGAGGAGGATGCAGGACGCCAGGAAGAACGCGGCGCGTTGCGGATGCCAAACGAGGACCCAGCACCACAGGATGGCTGGACAACATGGAGGGAACATCATTTTAGAAATGTAGCTCTCGCCCTGGCGCCGCGCCCATTCTTGTTAAAAGCTCCCAGCTGGTACAAGTAAGGAGGGGTCTCGCTTGAGATGTCTTCCCACACGGCGACCATACATGTATAATCATACGACCACACGACTAGAGGCCTGTTCTTGGGAGTCTCGCATGGTACGTCCTCAACATGTCGACCCGAAGGCTGGAATGTGCAAAACTTGGACAGGTGGTGGGTCGCTCTTTCTCAACATTGGGTGGTCGCTGGGGACTTCTTCCAATTTATTGCCAGAACTACAACATTGAAAATCGGATAAGCGGGTGGAGGGTGGCTCTTTGTCAAAACGGGGGTGCAGGTTGTCGTTGCATACTGTTTGGAACAGTGCGAGAATACCTCTTCGCACGCCTGGCAGCAAGAGGGAAGCAGGGCAACTCCCCTTCAAAACGGGGCTGTCGCTTGAACTGCAAGCACATGGGGCACTCGTCTTTCAAGGGGACCCGGTACTGAAACGGAATGCGTGCAGGGACTTGTGAGGAAGGGGACTTGGGACGGGATGGTGTATTGTAGCATTGTTGACGCATCCTTGGTTTAATATGGTATTATTCGTCCTTTGTGATCTCTCCATTCTTCCTCGTCGTCGTCTGATTATTGTGGCCGCTGTGGGGCCAAGAACAGTTAGAATGAATCGCAATCCGCAAGGAGCAGACTTCGAAAAGCATGGTCCGCACAGTGCGGAATGGACGCCTCAGGCGGGAGAGGGAGGTATTGGAGACCCTGAAGCTTATTCAGAGCTGATGGCTGCGGCACCATGCTCTGGGCATCTGCGCGGGAAGAGCATGCAAAAGACTTGTTCGACGTGCTGAACCGCGACCCTCGGCAAAATTGGATCGGTGGCGCGAGTTCTTTGTCGTCATGCCACAGATCGTTTTGTTTCATATCAGTGCATCTGATTTTGTTCTGTCATTCAGCCTGCAGGCCATTCTAGAGCCATGCCCAGAACAGCGAGAGTAGGTTCTGCATTGTCGCAGCGCCTCTGTGCTGGACGTGTGTGGTGATGTGCACGGGGCGAGGTCATCAAGCGGGAGGGACTGCAGTGAGGAGTTGACTGGGTGGTATGGTCAGGAACTTGTGGATAGCATATTGCTCCGCCAGTTCAAGCCCACGCCTCGGCGGGACACATGATCCACTTCGCGCACCCGGGCGTCCACGTGCCCAGCTTTTCCCAGCCTCCCAACCCGCGGAGCGGAGCGATACGCGATCCGCTTGCCAGGCATAGCGTGTCACCGGGGCCGCCGCCGCGACACGCTAAGCAAAAGTTCGCGACCGTTGTGAGGTGCACGAGGTGAGGTCCTCAAGTGGGAGCGACTGCAGTAAGGAGTGACTTGGGTGGCACACCTGCAGGACCCTCCACGGGTGCCCCTCGTCGCGCTGCTGAGCGGGGCGGGGGGGCGCGAGGGCACGTCCCCTTCAACTGGGTACAGCCAAGAGGCATTTCTCCCTCGACCAGCACAGCCCGTCATCCTCAGCCAGACAGGAGTCAATTTCCTTTGCCAGCCAGAGCCTCAAGGCACATGCACCATCACCGGGGCGGATTTACCCACCCGCCTGCCTCTCGAGCCCTTGTGGGGTCCGCCGAAGGATCTTGAAGGTATGGCGTCTGTCTTGGAGGTCCTCTTGGATGAGGAGGAGGAGGAGGGAGGAGGAGGGAGGATGAGAAGGAGGACGCGGATCCTTCTGCGCGTGCGTTCCGACAGTCGTTTTAAGCGATGTCGATTGCCGAGAAGATGTCGTGCCAGGGCGCTTGCTGGAGTGAGAAAGTCTTCCTGCGTGAGCCGTTCATCTCTTGTGATCCAGGACCAATGTTTATCGCAGCGTAGTTTTATATTGCCGTTCCAGCTCCCCTTCCCCATCATCAGCATCAGCATCATCATCATCAGCAGCAGCAGCATCATCATCATCCTCATCATCGTCATCATCATCAGCAGCAACATCAGCAGCATCATCATCATGATCACCATCATCAGCATCATCACCTTCACCATCACCATCATCCTCAGTAGCCATTGTGGCTCAAGTTCGAAACACGAGTCCCTGGTGCTTCGAGCTTGCTCGCAGCTGGGGGGGCCGCTCGAAACCTGGGCACAACTGCCTTTGCTTTGCGTACACCTCCCTCTTCCGAATCGCTCGGATCCCGATTTGCTCGGGGGCGCGACGGCACCGAAGAAGTTTGATGAGTCTGTCTCGGTCGCGAAGTTGGTTGCGAAGGTGGCCAAGATGAACGCCGTTTTCGAGACGATCAACGAATCCTTTTGTATGCCTTCTCCTTTCTCTGCTCAGGTTGCCGCTTTTGCTGCCCCCATCCAGAGTATCCAGGCTTGTCTCGACACTTCAAAGGCGACCTTGGGGAAGACTGACGCCGCCCTTGCAGAAATGACCTAGATGTCGTCGGCGGGTTCCAGCGCAGGGTTCAGCAATGCCAGTGGCGCTGGTGGTATCCAGAATAAGCCCTGTCTCGCCCAAACTCGTTCAGTTCGTCCTGGTTCTTCCCACCCCTTCACCGAGGGGATTGTCGTGGGCTTCGGAGATGGGTTCCTTCGTAAGGTGTTGCATGAGGCCAGTATCGCGGTTCCCTCAACACGTGTGTCTGAAAAGGTCCAGTCCGCGATGAAGGCTACCCCTCTTAATTGTTCGAGGAAGAGGGCAGCGGCGTTCCCATAGGCTGGTGCAGTGCAGCAGAAGAAACCATTGCCACATTATGTCGTGATTTCCTCCGTGGGTTCCCGGCTAAAAACGCCTAAGTGCCTTCCGCGACGGTGGGACGAACAAGAATTTCGCAGCCATTGGTAAGATTCGGTCTGGGCTAGAGAATGGCATCAAAGAGATCCCCAACCTCGCTGACCGGAGAATCGATTCGTCTGTGAGCAACGGCTTCGCTTCCATTCAACCTGAGAATAGCGGTGATGCGCACGAGCTCGTTTGCCTGCAGAAGCCGAACACCGTGCTCGAAGATCCTCGCGCGATTGATGATGCCACTTTGCTGCCGCGGGCACCCAAGGTAAGCAGCACAAGACTGCAGACGGGGCGTTGGCAGTGCCTGCTAATCTGTCGACTGGCCCCTCGGGGTCTGGGTGGCTCACGCAAGAGCTTGCCTCTCTTCTGCGCGCTGGCCCGTTCGACGAGGCGCAATTCCTTCTGGGGGGCTTGCAGCCGTCGCAGTCCATCCCCTTCGTTCCGGAGAAACAGTTATCTGGTGTTCCTCGGAATGTTCGTGGTCCGTTCGCTCGTGGATCCACTGTCAGGAACAGACCGAGCTTATACCAGGTGGCAGCTCTTCAGCCGGTTCATCAGGAGGCGCTCTATTGTTTGTGTCGAGGAGCCCCACGGTCACCCTGGAGGTTTAGTTGCTCTGCAAAAGGAACTCCCTTCACATTCCTTTTTCTTCCACCCGCACCCTGACAATGTTCCTAGGCATAGGGTTTTAGTCTGCGCTAAGCAGGAGCACGCCTCGATGTTTCACGGTTTCACTCAGAAGGCGTTGTTTCCAGGGGGGCTTCCGGCGATCTCGGGAGAGAAAGCGCGTGTAGCTGGGCGTCCTGGCCGTGCAGTTTCCGAACGTTGACGCCCTTATCGGACGTTGCCTCCACTGTGTGATATTGCGTTCGTTTTGTTATCCATTTCTGGCGCTTCTGTCAGCCGCATCTTTCTCGCGATTACACATTTGTTTTCAGCGAGGCCGATGAGATCGATCCCGGGGCTCCGGTGGTTCCCCAGACCATTGTGGCGACGCACGAGAACAATGCTGGATATCCGAAGTTGACGCGGCGTCGTTTTGCTAGGTCCCCACATGTTTGTATGTATTGGCCCATTGCTGCCCTGCGGGGGTTCCGCGCCTGCACTCTCTATCTTGTTGTCCGCGCAGTCCGCGCCTGCCATCATATCGCCGTCTAATTTGCTACCGATGTTGACGCCCCCTTGGATCTGCAGGGACTGCATGCACGCATTGCCCCGTTGAGCAATCAGTTGATTGTCGAGGAGGATGAGACGGAGGAGGGGGAGGAAGAGAAAGAGGAGGAGGAGGCGCTACAGCAGGCCAGCAAACTTCCTGAGCACGAGAGTGCGCGCAAGCGTTCTCGCGCACAGCGCAATCGTGAGCGGTGGCGTTCGTTGAACAAGTCCGCGAGTCGCGGGGGCTGTTCTGGCCTAAGACACGGTTGCGCCATGCACATCGACGCAGCATGCATGGGCCGAGTTGGCGCACCACTTGGGGGGGGAGGTTTCCGAGTCGAAAACGATCGACCGCTCTTTGTGGGCCACCCCCCTCCCGCGTGTCCAGAATATCAACGGTTGGACAAGGTTGCCCACTTGTTCACCGACTTCAGAGCAGCGCTCTCTAGTTTGGCCAGTGAATGGGCGACCTCCGCACTACAGATGATGGGGCGTTCCCCTGCTGATCATGCTGTCGTCGCTAGTTATGTTGGTGTGCTCTCTGTCCTGCGTGTCGTTCCTCCTGCTGCTCCGTTGTGCCGTTGCCGCTGCCGCTGGCGGTGGTTGGGTTGCCCTTCGCCGCGGTTTTCTGTATTGTGATCCCTGTTTACCCGGGGGCTCGATGGAACCCAAGAATTATGATGAGTTTGTCTCGATCGCGGGGTTGGCGGCCCCGTTGGTCGCTTCGGCTCGCTCCCCGCCCCACCTCCTCTTGCCGCCGCCGACGGTGGCGCACGCGTCGAACGATTTGGTTCGCCCAGCATTTGTCGTCTGCGCTCTAGTGCGAGAGAGTGCCTCTATTTCTGCGGCCCGTCGCCGCCCGTCCACCCTCGCGGACTTGTTCATAGGCAGGGTGTTGTTGCAGCCATCGTCCTCTCGGGGCGGTCGCAGAGTCAGTCTGGCGCGCAGTGAGTGGAGTCCCGACCCCATGGCGTCTGTGTGGATGTGTGTACAAGCATGTGTATGTGGATGTATATGTGTGTATATGTTTATGTGTGTATGTGTGTATGTATGTTTACGTGTTTGTGTGTGTGTGTGCATGTCTGCCTGTCTGTCTGTATGCATGCATGTATGTATGTATATGTATGTATGTATGTGTGTATGTGTGTATGTATGTATGTATGTATGTATGTATGTATGTATGTATGTATGTATGTATGTATGTATGTATGCATGTGTGTGTATGCATGCATGCATGCATGCATGCATGCATGTATGTATGTATGTAGGTATGGATGTATGTATGCATACATGCATGTATGTATGTATGCATGTATGTATGTATGCATGCATGCATGTACGTATGTGTGTGTGCATGTGTGTATGTATGTGTATATATATATATATATATATATGTATGCATGGATGTATGATGGCATGCATGCATGCATGCATGCATGTATGCATGTATGAATGTATGGATGTGTGTATGTATGCATGTATGTATGTATGTATGCATGCATGTATGTATGTATGGATGTGTGTATGTATGTATGTGTGTATGTTTGTATGTATGTATGTATGTATGCATGTATGTATGTAGTTGTATATATGTACGTATGCATGCATGTATGGATGTAGGTATGTATGTAGGCTGGTAGGTAGGTAGGTATGTATGTATGTGTTAGTGTGTTTGTGTGCTTGTGTGTTTGTTTGTTTGTGTCGTTGTGTGTTTGTTTGTTTGTGTGTTTGTGTTTTGTGTGTGTGTGTTGTGTGTTTGTGTGTTTAATGGTCGCCAGTTCTATGCCGCACAACCGATGCGACTAGGTTGTGGCTGCGCACATATGTTCCTCTCTGTCTTGTTTGCCCTTGCCCGTGCGCGTTGTCCTGGCAAGTTCGAGCGTGCCTCCGCCCGTGCTTGCCGCCGCCGCCCTCTTGGCGGCTCCCCGAGTGTCTCGGGTGGCGAGCCTGGTGCTTAGCCTGATCACGCCTGTTGGTCGCATCCTCCCTCCGGCTCTGCTTGCTTCGTTGCATTGGCACCCATTTTGCGAGGTTGAGATGATTTGGCTCCGTTTGCGCCCGGAGGCGCGCAAGGTTCGAATCAATCGCTATGTGGCATAACGATCTTCGATTCGACTGCCACCCTTTTCATGGCCATCGGTCCCAGGGAAGATCATCATCACAGTCATCCTCACCGCCGTCCTTCCCAGGACCACCCGCATAGTACTCCTGCTCCCCAGATTTCCCCTCATGTCATTCCTCACCCTCCTCCTCGTCATCATTGTCATCACCACCACCACCAGCATCGTCATCTTACCCCCAGTTCATCTCTCTGACTTCCCTTCTCCCTCGCTCTTCGTCAGCTCTCTTTTTTCATCGTCGGTGTCGCCAGGGGTCGTCTTGGGGATGGTCACTGCGGGGCCGTGGGTGTGGGAGGCTCGGGGGTCAGACTGGAACCGCAGGGTGTTTCGGCTGAGAAAAGGGAGGATGTGGAGGAGGATAGGGAGGAGGAGGAGGAGGAGGAGGAGGAGGAGGAGGAAGGACGAAGAGGAGGAGGTTCAGGAGGAGGAGGAAGGAGGAGGAGGAGGAGGAGGAGCTGCACCTGTGCCTTCCCCAGACCTTTTACCCGGAGCCCGATTCTGGCTGCGAGTACCCGTGTTCCGGGTGCAGCGGGGCTGCAGTTTATTTCGGCGGCTTTTGCGCCCACGCCCCTGCAGTCAAGACGCTGCAAAAAGGAACACATCAGGTTCATGAGGCGCTCTGGTTCCGGGGCCTTTCCTTAGATCTAGGTCGGGGATTTTGCTCGTAGCCGAGATCCGCCGTGGCCTGGACAGTTCCTTCGTTCGTGGCTCCGCGTTCCTCATGGTAGCAAGCCAGTTGTGGAATCTGGGCGCAGGTGAAGGCCTGAGTCCCCTCGACTTCCCCCGCTCCCTCGTGCCCAAGCGGTTCCCGCAGGTCACTCGGCTGAAAACCCCCGCTCGGCTTCCAGTAACCCTGCCGCGACGCAGACCGCCGCCTCTCCGCGGGCCGTGGAACGCGATGTACGCATCACTGACCGCGGTCATCCGGCGCACGCCAGGAGGCAAGTTCCAGAAGGTTCGCAGGGTTCGAGCCCATGGTTGCGGAAGCGTCGATCGGTGCGAGTGCGCGCCCTCTGGAGCGACTGGCCTCCTCAACGGAAGAGGCTCGACTCGGTCGGATCTGGGATGCAGGCGATCCGACCGATCTGCGAGTGAGGGCAGCAGCTGGACAGCTATGGTTTAGCGTGCCATAGTATCGACCACCGGTACCCACTGTGTCGTCTCAGGGGTTCCAGTGAGCGGTTTTAATGTCTCCTCCGCCTCTTTCCCCTCCTCTTACTCCCTCCTCATTCCCATCCATCCTTTCTTCTCCTTCTATCCTCCTCCATTTGTTTGCCCGCTGACTGGGGGCCCTGAGGCGGCAAACTCAGCAGTACAATCCGCCTCCTCTCCCCTTTCTCCCTCGTTCGGGACGGGGGAGGACGGGGGAGGAGGGGGAAGGGGGAACGCGGTGAGACGGATTGGACAGGCTGGTGCAACGATGGCCTCCGAAGGTTGCCAAATCGCCCACGATGTGCGCGATCCCCGCCCAGACCACCCTGGACAACCTGACGACGTACTTCAGCCACTGGCCGAAGCGCCGCGCCCTCTTCCTGATGTACGGCGGCCCCCAGACCCCCCTCCGGCGCCCCTTCGGCTCCCGGGCGCCAGCGTCATCGCGGCTCCCCGAGGCGGAGCGGGCGCGCGGCCCAGGCCGCCGCGAGGGCGGGGGCGGCGAAGCGGATTTCGGGCACGCCTACGGCCCTGCCGCGGGCGGCGCGGCGGACTCGGGCAGCGGAGGCAAGCCCGCGGCCGCGGCGCGGGCCTCGCGCCCGCTTGGGCTTGCGGGGGTCGGCCGGAAATTCGCGCGCGGCGAGAAGCTCACCATGGTGACGGCCTACGACTTCCCCTCCGCGCGCCTCGCGCGCGGCGCGGGCCTGGAGCTCGTGCTCGTGGGCGACAGCCTGGGGAATTGCCGGCTGGGCCTGCCGGACACGGTGGGGGTGACCATGGACGACATGCTGCGCGCGACCGTCTCGGTGCGGCGCGGCGTCGACGCCCCGCTGATGGACGTCGCGGCCGACGACGCGGGCCCGAAGCCGATGGTCGTGGGAGACATGCCTTTCGGGTCGTACCTGCAGGAGGCGGACGCGCTGCGGAACGCAGCGGCGCTGAGGGTCGCAGGCGCAGAGATGGTCAAGCTTGAGGGCGGGCGGCAGGTGGCGCCGCTCGTGCAGGCGCTGACGAACGCCGGCATCCCGGTGATGGGCCATGTGGGCCTGGCGCCGCAGAGCGCCGTCCTCCAGGGCGGTTTTAAGATGCAGGGCACCACTGCCAAGCGCGCTCTGGAGGTTGTCAAAGATGCGCAGGCGCTCGTCGACGCCGGTGCAGTTGCCCTGGTGATCGAGTGCGTGCCTGGCGAGGTGGCGCACGCGGTGCAGGCGGCTGTGCCCACTGTGCCAGTCATCGGCATCGGTGCAGGCAGCAGCGTGGCCGGCCAAGTCTTGGTTTGCGACGACTTACTCGGCGTGCACGGCAAGGCACCCTCGTTCGTGAAGCAGTATGCCGACCTCGCTCGGACATCGGCGGAGGCCTACCGTACATGGGTGACGGAGGTGCGCAGCGGCCATTTCCCTGGTCCGATCCACTCGCAGAAAATGAAGTTAGACGAGCTGACCGCAATGGAGCAGCAGCTGCCCGAGCTTGGCGTGCACTTCAAAAAGCCTCCACCCGCACCGTTGCAGCCTGTCGCGTGGCCGGGCAGCGCGATTCACGTGGGCGCCAGTCCCGTCAAGGAGCAAGTCGCCGCCCAGAGCTTGCCAATCCGCGTGGGCGCCTTCTGGGCGCAGCCACGCACGGCGTTCGGCGCGCGCCTGCTGAGCACGGTGTGCGACTCGGTGGGCGGGCCTAGCGTCGGCGGCGGCGCAGAAGCATTTGCGAAGGCCGCGGAGGCCTCTGCGAAGCCAGCCGAGGTTGAGGTGCTTCGCACCCGCCAGCAAATGAATGCCTGGCGGCGTACGGTGGGTAGGGTCGCGATGGTGCCGACCATGGGCAACCTGCATGAGGGGCACCTCGAGCTGATCGACGAGGCCAAGAAGCACGCGGACCAGGTGCTGGTGTCGATCTTCGTGAACCCGGCTCAGTTTGCGCCCCACGAGGACCTGGACTGCTACCCGCGCACTTTCGAGCGCGATCTCGAGCTCCTCGCCGCACGCGGTGCATCCGCGTGCTTCGTGCCTACGCCGAAGGAGATGTATCCCAGGGGGTCGCCTGGCGGCGTGGTCGTGGTGCCCAAGTTCGTGCAGGGGCTGAGCGAAGACGCTTGCCGGCCGCACTTCTTTACTGGGGTTGCAACTGTGTGCTTGAAGCTGTTCAACATTTGCCAGCCAGATGTTGTGGTGTTCGGACAGAAGGACGCAATGCAATGCGTGGTCATCCGGCGCATGCTGGAGGACCTGGATTTGGACACCCGCGTCTCCATGGTTGTGGCTCCCACCTCGCGCGAGGAGGATGGGCTCGCACGGTCGTCTCGCAATTCGTACCTCACGCCGGACATGCGGAGGCGAGCCCCCGCGATCTACGCTTCGCTGTCGTCCGCAGCGTCGGCGCCTGGGGCGACGCCCGCGTCCGTGCGCGACGTGGTCAAAAGAGAGATGGAGGTCGCCGGCATGGACGTGAGTTACGTGTCGGTTGCAGGTCTGGACGACATGCAGGAGAAGGAGGGCAACGCCCCCCTTGAGGGCTCTGTCATAAGCGTGGCGTGCCTGTTGCGTGATGGCAGCCAAGAGTGCCGCCTCATCGACAACGTGGTAGTGCCTGCCTCCAGCGGGCGTGTGTGTTGGTGAACCAGGTCTTGTGTACAGCGGGGCCAAGGATGTGTTTCAAATGCTGCCAGAAGTAGGCAAAGATCACATGCGAATTCTTACGAGGCGAAGGGGCATAAGGGGGGTAGTCGGAGATCTTAGCAGTCCAGAAAAAACCCTGAAGGATGTGGAGCATCCAGCGGAGCACTGACTGAAGGCTAGGAGTAGTTGGCACCTGTACGAGGCACGCTGGTACAGAGGATGTCGCGAGGGCGATGCGTTTGCAGCGATTGCGTCTACCAGGCCAGCAGCTCTTTGTGGGATAGAACACGGGAGGTACTGGAGGAGGAGAGGGCGGGGTACATATACGCTTCTGCTGGCTCCTGCCCCACCATACACTTGCATGCTTCGCCTTCCCGCCCGTGCGGGTGCAGAGCCGAAGACCCAAGCACATGGCTAACCGCGCTCGGGGCAGCCCTAATTCACGATGTTGATGCCCTGCCCTGGCCACCGTGGACCGATACGAAAGCTTGTCTGCTGACAAGTGTATTCCGTCACACACGGGCACTGGCTCACACCGTATCGTCTACCTGGGTGTTTGCGACAAGTTCCGCCGCCGCTCCAGCGCAGCATTCTGTGCGGCGACGTTTCGAAAAGTGTCCGGAAGGCCATGCCATGTGGTTGCTCTTGCCTTTGGGTTCAAGAGCGTTGTAGCAAGTGGCACGCTCGTCTGAAGGCTCGAGGAGATCGTAATGTGTAATAGCTGCCTCCCTCAGATCCCAGGGAGAGTCGTGACATGTGACGCTTGCCTTTCGCTCTTCCCCAGAGCCATGTGGGCTGAAATGCATCGTAGCTCATTTCCTAAGCGGGGAAGCAGCACGGCAGTTCACGTCCCACTGTCCAGAGGACCGTAGCACGTAACATGTTCCGTTTGCTCCTTCACAGCAGTTTTCTAAAGTGCGTTCCGCAAGAGGCTCGGTTGAGCATTATTGGGGCCGTTTGGTTGGGTCTCGGAGCCATGTTGGGGATTAGCCGTCTTTGTGGCCTGAGCTCTTTCCCAGCAAACAATTAGTTTTCTCGTGAAAGCAAACAGTTAGTCACCACCACATCCCCCGATTCTTAAATGTTCGCTGGGCCAGCGGCGATCAAACATGTAAGTATACGTGGGCCGTCATATGGGCATGCAACACTCAGATCAAACAACCAGTCTATGTTCTTGGTTTTGTCGCATGCCGATCGCCAAACAATTATATTACCTAGCATGGGGAAAAATAATGTGTTGACACCGCCAACACTCTTCACATCTGCGCCACGGCAGCCAACATCAACACATTGATTGGGCGTCATGCTCTCTCGATCTGGCAAAGGTCAAGGTCAGACACATCCAGCTTTCCTCGTCGAGACAAGAGAGGGTGCTATGCCTAGCTGAAGACTGTTCGCCTGGCTGACTGTTCCGCATTGCCAGAGACCAGGGGTGCATCAAGGGTTGACGCGAATCTGAATTCGCCGCACCGCAGCCATGGGATCGGGCGTAGGCCGCGGCACCCGGCCGGGTGCGCGAGGCTGGCCAGGGGCGCGCCCGGCTAAGCCAGGCCAAGCGCGTCGCCACGCGACGGCGCCCCCAGCCAGGGGCCCATGCCGGGCGGCGTTCCCCGACTCCTCGCTGCGGGCGCCGCGGGGGCCGTGGGCGCCGTGGGGCCAGCGGGTTCCCGGGCGCGCCGCCGCCTCGGAGGGGGAAACAGGTCACGGCGTGCGCGAAGGTGTCAGCTTGACATCGTGTGTGCGCGCGTGTCTTCTAAATTCTAGGACCGTGCGTTTGTAGTTAATGCCGACACTGCCCGGTAGTCGACCAGTCGTTGCTCCAATGTTGCGGAGGAGGAAACACATCCTCTAACTCCGCTCGAGTGGGGCTGGCCCAGGGCACGACGCACCTTCTGCACGCAGGTCTACGTACGTGCCATGCCGCCCGCACCCTTTTCTTTGCCTCTCCTCGATCACTGGGTGCGCACGCGGCCCTCCGCGCGCGCGCGCTGGACGCCGTAGCCGTGCTCTTGGCCGCGGCGACCGAAAACGATGTGCATGGTGGTCTGTGTGTGAACGTGTGTGTGTGTGTGTGCCTGAGCGTGTGTTTGTGTGTATGTGTGGATGCGTGTGTGCGTGTGTGCGTGTGTGCGTGTGCCTGTGTATGTGTGTGTGTGTGTGGGTGAATGCGTGTGTGTGCGTGGGAGAGAGAGAGAGAGAGAGAGATGCGTGCATCTGTGTGTGCGAGTGTGTATGTGTGTGCGTGTGTGTCCGTTTCCGTGTTCGTGTGTGCGTGCGTGTGTGTGTGTGTGTGTGTGCGCGTGCGTGTAAGTGTGTGCGTGTGTGTGCGTGTGTGTGTGTGTGTGTGCGTGTGTGTGTCTGTGTGTGTTTGCGTGTTCGTGTGCGCGTGCTTATGTGTGTGCTTGTGTGTGTGTGCGTTTGTGTGTGCGCGTGTGTGCGAATGTGCGAATGTGTGGGTGTGTGCGTGTGTGCGCGTGTGTGAGCGTGTGTGTGTGTGTGCGCGTGTGTGTGCGCGTGTGTCGTCGCGTGTGTGCGTTTGTATGTGTGTGCGAGTGTATGCGTGTGCGTGTGTGCGTGTGTGCGTGTGTGTGCGCGTGTGTGCGCGTGTGTGCATGCCGTGTGTGCGTGCGTGCGTGTGTGCGTTCGTGTGTGCGTGCGTACCTGCGTGCGTGTGTGCATTTGTGCGGGTGTGCCTGTGTGTGCGTGTGTTTGAGTGTGTGCGTGCTTGCTTGCGTGCGTGCGTGCGTGCGTGTGTGCATGTGTGTATGTGTTTGTGTGTGTGTGTTTGTGCGTGCGTGTGTGTGTGTGTCTGTGTGTGTGCGTGTGTGTATGTGTCTGCGTTTTTGTGTGCGCGTGTGTGCGAATGTGTGTGCGTGTGTACGTGCGTGCGTGTGTGGGTTGCTGCGTGTGTGTATGTGTGAGTGCGTGAGTGTGCATGTGCGTGCCTGTGTGTGCGTGTGTGTGCGTGTGTGTGCGAATGTGCCTGCGTGTGTGTGCGTTGCGTGTGCGTGTGAATGTGCGTGTGCGTGTGTGTGTGTGTGCGTGCGTGTGTGTGGTTCCTCCGCGGCCGCCCTCTCCCCCCTCCCCTTCCACCCTTGCATCTGGCTTGATTAGCAACTCTGCAGCCCAGTTTTGCTACGCGCGCGAGCGGATCGCCTCTGCCGCGCCGCGACGAAAAAAGCGTGTGCGTGTGCATGTTCGTGTGTGTGTGTGGGTTTGTGTGTGGTGTGTGTGTGTGTGTGTCTGTGTGTTGGCTGTGTGTGGTTGCGTGTGTGTGTGTGTGTGCGTGTGTGTGTGTGTGTGTGCGTGTGTGCGTACGTGCGTGTGTGCGTGTGTGCGTGTGTGCGCGTGTGCGGGTGCGCGTGTGCGTGTGTGCGTGTGTGGGTGTGTGTGTGTGTGTGCGTGCGCGCGTGTGTGTTTGTGTTTGTGTGTCTGTGTTTGTGCGCGGTGTGTGTGTGTATGTGCGTGTGTGTGTGTGTGTGCGTGTGTGTGTGTGTCTGTGTGTGTGCGTGTGTGTATGTGTCTGCGTTGTTGTGTGTGCGTGCGTGCGTGCGTGTGGTGTGTGGTGTGTGTGCGTGTGTATGTGTGTGGTTGTGTGTGTGTGTTTGCGTGTGTTTTTGTGTGTGGTTGTGGTTTTTTTTGTGTGTGTGTGTGTTGTTGTGTGTGTGCGTCTGTGTTGGTGTGAGTGTTTGTGTGTATGGTGGTGTGTGCTCGTGTGTGTGTGTTTGTGTGTTGCTGGTGTGTGTGCGCGAAAAAAGTGCTCGTACGATTGTGGTTGCTTGCTTGTGTGTTGGTGTGTTGCGTGTGTGGCTGTGTGCATGTGTGTGTGAGTGTGTGCTAGTTTGTGTGTAGTGGGCTGTTGCGTGCGTGTGTGTAGTGTATATGTGGTGTGTGAAGTGTGTGTGGGTTCTGCAGCGTGAGAGTGTGCTGTGTGCGTTCTGTGCGTGTGGTGTGTGTATGGTTGTGCGTGTGCATGTGTTGCATGTGCTTCGAGGGCATGCATGTGCACGTGTGTCTTCTTTGTCTTCCTTCCGTGCTTTGCCTCGCCTGTCGAATGTTGTGTTCGCTGGATCGCGCGCCTGATTGGTCGGCCTAAGTTTGTTATTGTGCGCGCTCGCTTTGTCCAGCCTTCCAGGTCCTTCCTCGCGCCCTCGGGCTTGCCGTCGGCCCTCTTTCCAGCGTGGCACCACCGCGACCTCCTTGCACCGTCTACATGTTACAGCTCAGCGGTCGGATGTGTGCGGCATTCGATGTGAGTCATTGCCGTTTTGCATGTGCCCACAATGTTGGGCAAGTGTTCCTAACCCCACACCGTTTAACCCATTGGCGTGGGGGAGGAGAACGTGTGCGGGTGTGTGTGTGTGTGGGTGTGTATGTGTGTGTTCGTTCGAGTGCTGGGATGTTTGCTTAGGGATCGTGTGTTTGTATGTCAGGTAAACTGACTGTGACGGCGTCCATAGTTTGACCGCACGTGGTGATTACACCATCGGGTGGACCAGACATTGATGATTTATCTGCCTCCAATCGGTGGTACCCCCTTGTCGACGGACTTTACACTACAGTCGGCTGGTATCCAGCATTGGCGATGCAAGTGTGACGCACGAGCTAACAGGTGTAGATCCGTTGGCTTGGTAGTTGCGCACACTTGACGGATTCAGTGCCAGGCGCGCAGTTGTCTTCGACGGCGCGCCTGGTTTTGCCAAACCGCATCTGGCGGTGCTCGGCTCATCCCGCCACCGTACCTGCGCCGTGGACCAGAGGCATCATGGAGTCGCTTTAGGGGTCTTTGGGGGGTCTCTTGGAGGCCTCTTGGTGGCCTCTTGAGGCTTCCTGGGGACCTCTCAGTGGCATCTTGTGGGCATGCTGGTGGCCCCTTATGGGCCCTCTTGGGCCTCATTTGCGGGCTCGGTGGCGGTCTAGAGGCGATCTTGTGAGCCTCATGGGCCGTCGGGGACGCTCTCGAGACCGAAATGAAGAGAACACCAAAAAATTGTGAGAGACGCTGATCGTTTGGGACGAATGTTCGCTTGTTGGGCCGACCCCCAGAGCAACCAAGACGGCCCAAGAGACCCCTGATAATATCCCAAGGCGGGCCTTTGGGACCATCTTAGGGCATGTTGGCAGCTTGTATTCCGAACCACGTTATCCGAGGCATCGGTGCAAGTTACGCGGATCATCTGTGGAGCGCGCGAGACAACCCAGCAATCGAGGGCACGGAGCATTCAACGAAAGGTTATCTACAAATTGTGTAAGATCGAAATGGTTTGAGGACCTGAGGTCGCTCCACACAGTGATTCGTGGCCATGTGGCGATTCTATCATGGGCAAGTCAGCTATGCACGTCGGGCTCTACCAGTGCAGAGTTGCTGATTTACAGCATGCTCCTTCTTTTCTGCTGCACGATGCGTGGTCTGTCTGGTATTGGTCTTGCCGGTTGCCTCCAGCATCCGCTTCCCGATTACGGTCGGGAATGTTTGGACAGCGAGTCGCCCCAGCGGCCCCGGCGACACGCTATGCCTTGCAGGCGGATCGTGTGTCGCTGCGCCTCGCGGGACGGGAAGGTAAGAAAAATTCGGGACGTTGAAGCCAGGGGATTGGGAAGCGGATGCCGTCGGACCGGGGTATAAGATCGAGGTCGGTTCGGGGAGGGTACCTTGGTGTTCGTCGTGTTTGTTAGATGTTCTTGTGCACCCTGGGGAGTGTACCCTTGGATATTCTGTCTGGTTGGGCCGACGGAGGGTCTCATGGCCTTCTGGCCTAGGCCCGACCGTACCGTGTCGCGCAGAAGCGTGGTGGGCCAGATCCGGCGGAGCGACACCTTGCCCAGGAGATCCCGACCGCAGGGGCGAAGGCGCACTGGCGGCGCGGCGCCCCGAGAGAGCACGCCTTCTGCCTGCAGTGGAGCGGCCCCCTGACGCCCCGCGCCTTCCCGTGGCATCGCTCGGACGCGTGCTTCTTTTTCTCGGCGAAGGCCATCGAGGAGCATCCTGGATCATCGGGCCAAACAAAATTACCCCAACGTCGACCCCAAGCAGGAATGCGCGAAGCACAACTGGCCCACGCAGAGGCTTCCCGCCCCTCCAGAGGGGTACCATCCTCGCGAGAGTCGCCACTTTCTGAGGGGCCAAGGCGCCCGAGGCAGCATCCTCGTGAGGGTCGCAATTTTTCCAGGCGCCAGAGCGCCCGAACCACAACTGGCCTACAGAGCCGGAAGAGGGCTTCAGCCGTGAGGGTCGCCATTTTCCCAGGGCGGCAGAGGGCTCTTGCTCCTCCAGGGGGGTGCTATCCCTGTGAGCGTCGCCATCTTTTCGAGGGCCAGGGCGCTCGAACCACAATTGGGCCACAGAGCCCGCAGAGTGCTTCAGTCCCTGCAGAGGGACACCATCCTCGTGAGGGTTGCCAATTTCCGAAGGGGCCAGTACGCCCGACCCAAAACTGGCCTACAGAGCCGGCAGAGGGCTCCTGCTCCTCCAGGGGGGCTGCATCCTCGTGAGGGTCGCTACTTTCCGAGGGGCCAGGGCGACGGAACCACAACTGGCCTACAGAGCCGGCAGAGGGCTTCAGCCCCTCCAGCGAGGCGCCATCCTCGTGAAGGTCGCCGCTTTCCGAGGGGCCAGGGGGCCCACAGAGCCGATAGAGGGCTCCTGCCTGCTCTTCCAGAGGGGCACCATC